AATAACGAACGAAATAGACAAAATATAGGACTAAATAAGATTGCGAGACAAGACGAGACGAGACGAGATACATACCGAGACGATACATACCGAGACGAAACGAAACAACAGCAGCACACGATCGGCGATAATAGCGCATGATTAATCGCATCTTGCATTCACTTATGCTGCTGTGACGGACACAGCATGCATTTGGCGGAAAAAATAGAATTCGTGAATGAACTTGTTTGTTTGTTTGTTTGTATGTATGTGTTTATGTGTGTGTGTATGTGTGCATATGTGTAAACATGTTTGTATATATAAATGTATGCCTATGTGTGTGTGGTTATGTATATGTATTTTGGTCTGTGTATATGTGTGTGTGGGAGTATAATCGTATAAAGTATAATCGTATGTATGTATGTATGTATGTATGTATGTATGTATGTATGTATGTATGTATGTATGTATGTATGTATGTATGTATGTATGTATGTATGTATGTATGTATGTATGTATGTATGTATGTATGTATGTATGTATGTATGTATGTATGTATGTATGTATGTATGTATGTATGTATGTATGTATGTATGTATGTATGTATGTATGTATGTATGTTTGTTTGTTTGTATAAATGTGTGCGTGTTGTGTGTATGTGTGCGTGTTCTTACAAACAAAACAAGGTGCTTGTCTCCTTGTTTTTGTTTCCAAAAAATTAGTGGCTTGCCATTTTGATTCTATTTAAAGTGCTACCAGTACTACTGCCACTACTACTACAACAACTACTACTTTAACTACTGCTACTGCTGCTGCTAATACTGCTACTACAACAGCAACTACTACTACTACTGTTGCTGCTACTTCTACTACTGCCACTACTGCTACTACTACTACTTCAACCACTACTATTTCAACTTCTACTGCTGCTGCTACTCTTACTTCTACTACTACGATTATTTTTTAAAAAGCCGAAAGCTAAATATTGTTAGGCAAAGAAAAACAAACCTATAGGATGGATTGAATGATTAAATGAAAAATGAATATACGGATGGACAAATGAGCTTATGAATGGATGTACGGACGAATGAATGAATAAAGAGTGGTAGAAGAATGAATGGATGGAAAATGGATGTTTATTTCTTTGCTCAAAAGGTCCATGGCTTTTCATAGCATAAATCTACGGTATGTCAAATAGTACGTGCGAACTAATAAATGTATGCACACATTCAAACATATATATATATATATATATAAATATATATATATAACACATACACACACACCACACACACACACACACACATATATATATATATATATACACAAATATATACATACACATACAAACATACACATACTAACATATACATACACAAATATTTACACATACACACATATACACATACATACACACATTTTTATAAACCATATATACCAACTTATATATACACACATTTAAACTTATTCACCCATATATCTACATACATGTACACATACATACTCGAACATATATATTTATATTTACATGCACATACACAAATGCACACACAAACATATTTACACACTGACACACACACACAAACACACACATATATATATATATACACACACATCAGGTTTTAATCCATATATTATTAGCATTAAGAATTCAGAAAAAATCGGTTTTTATGTGTAATTTATGGACGCTTGTATGTTTGCACGAACACGTAGAGCTTGTATTTATACAAGAAATGTGTGTGTGTATGTGTGTGTGTGTATGTGTGTGTGTGTGTATGTGTGTATATGTGATAAAGATAGAAGCAAGCAAACGAATAAAATGAAAAAAAAATATGAAAAAAAAATGCGAAAAATATCAGTTGTATTATTTACAATATTGATTAATCACTCAGGCAGAATCATACTAGACAACTCTCTGAGACACGCCTCAGCAATCTTAATTCAAATCGGCTTTCCATAACCACTGAATAAAATGAACAAAACCATCGTCGTCGTCGTCGTCATCATCTTCGTCATCACTTTCATCATCGTCGTCATCAACCGCAATGGCAGTAGCAGTAGCAGCAGCAGCATCTGTAGCATCATTTGCAGCCGCGTCTTCATCCTTTTCATCCTCATCGCTATTACCTCCTACAGTTCGTCATTATTTTCCTTTTAACACTTCCATCTTTGAAAAATTTTGGCGGTGTTTTTGAGAGAAAAATATTTATAAAAAGATTTCCACAAAAAACCTTTTCAAAACATATGAGGGAGTGAGGGAGACAGAGAAAGAGAGAGAGAGAAAAAGAGAGAGAGATGGAGAAGAGAGAAAGAGAGTGAAAGGGAAAAAATAGGGAGGACGAGAGATAGAATGGGTTATGAAGGAGAGAAAACAAACGAACTAGATATAAATGAAATAATAATGGAATAGAAAGAGTCTGAGATTGAAAGGAAGTACAAAGAGAAAGAGAAAGAGAGAAAGAGAGAGAAAGAGAGAAAGGGGGCAAAAAAAGAAAGAAAGAGAGAGAGAAAGTAAAGCAAGATGGAATGAAAGTTGTGAATGAATAAATTCATTTTCTTTATACTTCTCTTCAATCAACCAGCCAACTAACCAACCAACCAAACAATCAATCCATCAATCAACCAACCAAACAATCAATCCATCAATCAATCAACCAACCAATCAGCCAACCAAACAATCAATCCATCAACCAATCAACCAACCAACCATTCCATCAACCAGCCAACTGAGCTTTTGATCAACCCGATCAATCAAACCACCACAGTTCAGCGGTTATAATCTGACACTTATCAATCATGTAATCTTAAAAACACATAAATAAATAAACACATACACATATCTACACACGCACGCACACACATACACACACGCACGCACATATACACGCACACACATAATTTTTTTTAATTTCAATTCAAAAATTGATTTTCCACAGATGACAGAACACATTTTATAATTTATAGCGTCGCGCCGTTGTTGGCCCAAATAGATGACGGAAAGTTTGGTTTACCTGTATTTCACTTTCACACACACCACACACACACACACACACACACACACACACACACACACACAGACACACACACACACAGTCACCAACACATCAACAACTTTAACACATCAGCAATCCAACAACAAGATAAATAACGCTTGTAATTAAGGACGGAATAATGATGATAACGCATCTATCAACCAGGAATGATGATGATGATGGTGATGCAGATGATAATGATGATGGTAGTAATGATGATGGCAATGGTAATGATGATGATGAGGAGGAAGAGGAG